TCAATCTTTTATCTTACCTAGAATCAAAGTCTCTTCAAATCTGGTCCTGGTTAGAGGGAGGGGCAAGATGGCGGAAGAGCAGGGTCCCCAAATCGCCTGTCCCCACCAAATTACCTAGATAACCTTCAAACCATCCTGAAAATCTACGAATTCGGCCTGAGATGTAAAGAGAGACCAGCTGGAATGCTACAGTGAGAAGAGTCCGCGCTTCTATCAAGGTAGGAAGACGGGGGGGAAAAAGAAATAAAGGAACAAAAGGCCTCCGAGGGGGAGGGGCCCGCGAGGAGCCGGGCTGAGGCCGGGGCGAGTGTCCCCAGGACAAATCTGGTCCTGAAAGAAAAAGAAAAGGCTTCACTTTTGTCAAGCTCCTTCCTATATTATTCTGATCCCCACACATTCTCAGGTCCTACAATTCTTTTGGAATGTAGACAACTTCCTTCTGCAGCAGGCTGAGCAGAGCTCTGACACAAGCTATTAGAGGGCCAAAAGGGTGATGGAAGCATGTCTTGAAGAAAACAAGTCACTTTACAATGAATCTATTTCAGGTGAGTTCATATATGATCTCTAGGCAAGGGGAGGTTGTTCTCCTCTGTAAAGAGGAAATGTTCTGCTTCTTTAGCTAAGGAAATTTAGGGACAATTGGGAGCTCAAGGTTCTGTGACTCAGCCACCCATATATTCATTGTCCAGGTTTTAAGGTCTCACATTTTTCCTATCTGGAAAAGACTTTGACATGGGAGACCCATTGAAATCATGCATTCAATCTCTTTTGCAGTTCTGCCACTCTAAATCTTGAACCTAATTTTCAACAGTGTCTAACTTACTGCTGCAAGAGATGGGAGTCTCCTTTATGGTTGCCACAGAAGTCCTCTGGCTTTCATAATGTTCTTACATTGTCAATTAGCTGATTCAAGTGTGTGTGTGTGTGTGTGTGTGTGTGTGTGTGTGTGTTGCAAGGCTTATCAATGCTGTTAAAGACAACCAGTCTATTCCTCAATTCTCATCATTATCATTTCTCCCATACCAATCAAGTACAGTATCCACTTGGTATCCCAATGCCTTGTCTTCCACTTGCACCTCATCCCAATTAACTGTAGGTGAAAGCTTTGGTAACAATGATGCAAGCCACTACATAGTAGGGATTATTATCCCACTTGAGTCAGGAAAACCATTCCTATTGCTTTCAGATAGAAGCAATAGGAAGTTGGCTATTCAACTCCAAAATCCCATTTTGAGGGTCTGCTCTTAAAAACCACTTCTGGTACCAGCATTTTTAATTGAGGGTCCTAAGAAAATAAAGTTTGAAGCAAAAGATTATGTGCAAATGCTTTACTGCTGGGTGAAATTCCCCAAGGGGAGAGAGGGAAGGAGAGAGAGAGAGAGGAGAGAGAGAGAGAATTAAAGTAGCAAAAAAGTAAAAATAAACATAAAAGATGTATTACCAAGATGGTCATAGCTTCATTGCCAACAAAAGCTGACTGTTGCATCTTATGGGGCATCTCCAGAGAGTACTTACAAAGCTACTGCTTCTCAGAACCATCCACCACACAGAAGGCAGTTTACAATGCTGGCTGCTTTCTGTCTCCTATTTCTCATTGGTTGAGAAATATGCCCCCAGACTAACTCCCCAATATTTCTGGACTGTATTACCCAGCCCAACCAAGTATCTTCTTGGGAAACCAGAGTCTCTGCTGACTATTCTGGCCAATTTTCAGGTGCTTCAGTCCTTCCTCCTAGTCAATACTAAATATAGGGGCTAGATGGCAGCAGTGGTGTGGCTATGGCTTTATGACTGTAGGATGCCTCATAGGGCTCTTGTGAGGACTCAAGTCAGGTAGTAGTATCCAGTGCCTGACATATAGTAAGCACTCAGCAAATGTTAGCTGTTATTATTAATAATTAGGTGAACTTTTTATGTGTGACTATTATGTGGTATGACTATTATGAAAATTTCTCCCACCCCTTCTAAGACTTTGTTAAGCACTGCTGGACTCAGCACTCTGATACAGAGCCAGACACAAGTGAGTGGTTCAACAATACCACAGGATATGGTCTATAGGAGTGGGAGACAGCCAGGGAGCCAAATGTATTTGCACCAAATTCATAATAAAGGTAGCTACCAGCCAGGTGGGATGCAGCTATGCAATGGTGCTGAGCACTTTGCTTCTCTAAAAACATGACTGTGATAATGCCTTCCATTGTCTAGCAACCTTAAAAAATTCTTTTAAACTTTTAACTGGTCCCTGAAACCCACTAAGGAAATAAATTGGTATTGTTTTTTGTTCTATAAATTATAGCCATATAGCTGAAGGATAATTTGCCCATTCACAGAGTCATAGATTTGCTTCTGAAACCATGAATACAGGAGCCCTCAAATGTCAAATATCTGAAGGATAATATGTTCTCTGGGAAATTTTCTGCATCATCCCGAGTTTGGCTAATCATAAATTAATATCTTTCATTTAATGAATAATTCACATCTTAGTCTTGTCACCATAGAAAAGAGGGCTACCAACTGCTAATGTTTCTTTATGAGGCATTCGGTGCCACAGGCATAAATGTTTACTTCCCTTGAGGGAATGACAGCTCTTGACAAGTGGAAACATGATTTCAGCAAAGAAATTGCTGTTCTATATGTTAAAAATGGCTTTAGTATTCTGCTATGATTCCTGCTTAAAATATATGGAAAGGATTTTTATAGTCAAGGTAAGTCTCTGTACTGATAAATGTGATAGACATGAATCTTGAGAGAGTGAAAAAATGAATTTTGGGAATTCAAAAAATATGTCTTTGCCTTTCTGGAAGCAAGAGTTGAGTTTTTAAAAAATAAAAACTGATAGAAGTTATTCAGTCTAATGAAAAATACAAGCTACAACGTGGGTGGTTTCCAATAAACTTCCTACGTCATACCTTTCTTGATGACAAATGTTTACCACGAACGTCTGGTATTTGTGTTAAAACCATCTGAATACCTAGTTGTCCCTGTTACCTGATCTACCTCACCCCTATCACCTGAGAACAAATTTGGCTTCATCAATTCTGATCTTTGGCCCTGTGCTCTAAACATGGCAGGGGGGACTCCTGTTATGATGCTTCAAGCCACCCTGAGCAATTACCAGCCTCTAGCCCTACCCTTCTGAGACTATCTTTGGCCCTAAGAGAGTAGTAGGACATGCAAAGGTCATGGAGTCAGGTGCCATCAAAGCTGTAGAGAAAGATAAGGAATATACGGTAGAGTTATGAAAGAAGTATTGAACTTTAAATTGGGAGACGTGAAAGAGAAAGAAAGCCAGGGAACCAAGGAGAGAACATTCTTTAAGTATCTCAATATTCCAAGTGCTTTAAAGTTAAGACATTTAATCTCCACAACAACTCTTTAACAAAGCCATTTTATCTTCATTGTAGGACTGTGAGAACAAAGGCTCTGAGAGGTTAGGTACCCTTTTCAAAGTAACTTAAGTGTAGATTTCTTAGGGAAAGTCAGTAGATCTGTGTGGTGATGTGTACATGGATGAGTGGCATGACACAGTGGTAAGAACAGTTAGAATGCTAGATTTCACCCAGATAGTGAAAGCCTTAATAAACCATGTCATTTTCACTATATGATGCTGGCTTGGGTTCTTTGAGCTCTGTACCCAAGAGCATACTTGCTTAGTAAAAGTCTCTCTTCCTGAATTTCCTTGTCTTTTAAATGGAGGGGTGAGGAATGACACTATCATACCTACCACAGAAGGTTTCCTTAGTTCCAATGAGTCAATGCAGGGGCACCTGGGTGCCTCAGCCACCAAGCATCCAACTCTTGATTTCAGCCCAAGTCATGATCTCAGGGTTGTAAGATCAAGTCCTGTGTCCGGGTCCATGCTGGGTGTGGAAACTACTTAAGATTCTCTCTCTCCCTCTCCCTCTCCCCCTCAAAAAAGAAAAAAAAAGAGAGAAAGAAAAGAAAAGAAAAAAAGTTTATACATAGAAAAGTGCCATGCAAATTCAACTAATTTCTTGTCATTTCTAGTTGCATAAATTTACAATCCAGCTGGGATGACATGACATAAATATAACCATAGAATTGTAACTTGAGGTCTAGCTGTCACCCAACCCACTAGAGGATCGACCATCCTATAAGATTTAATGGAAATGGTTTTGCACCCCCATCCTAAAATGAGACCGTCTGCTGACTAGATTGCCTTTACCACATCATCTACATTGCATACCACTTGTATTCTTGAATTCTCCAAAAAACCACGGGCAGCAGAACATATATAGAGCAGACTTTTACTAAAGATTTGAAGGCAAAGCTGGGGGCTGGGGGGTTATATCAGGGTAGATATTAGGTATCCTTGTTCTTAGATGCCCTTTGCCCTATTCTTCTTCTGAAAAGTCCTCTTTTCAAAGTCCTCTTTTCAAACTGGCCATCTCTTTACAAAGGGCCCTAACCCAGCATCATTCTTCTCTATTCTTTATTTTCTTTTCTTTTCTTTTTTTTCTTTTTGCCTTCCCATTTTCTACCACTTTTTTCTACTTTTTTGAAAAGTCCTTTTTTCAAACTGGCCATCTCTTTACAAAGAGCCCTAACCCAGCATCATTCTTCTCTATTCTTTCTTTTCTTTTCTTTTTTTTCTTTTTGCCTTCCCATTTTCTACCTATCCATAAACTTCACTTTATTCACATTATACTTAAATAGCAATAATAACTAACACTGATTAAAAACTTATTTTGCACCAGGAAGTACAAGTGCTTTATGTGTAACCTTTGATTTGGCAGACATTTTCTCTCCTTTTGTTGTGCCCCAGGTATTCATGCCCAAACCCTTGGAGTTTCGTCTTTTTTGTTCTTCTACAAATATTAAACAACTCTGTGTGTGTGTGTGTGTGTGTGTGTGTGTGTGTGAGTGAGTGTGTGTTGTTGAGCACAGTGCTAGCTCCTAGGGCTTTGGTAACAAATAAAACAGACTTGGTCTCTGCCCTTAAGAAGCTCCACATTCAGAGAGCTGATAAAAGTAACTTGTTAAATGAAGTCAATTCTGTCTTTGCGGGAATTGCCAGCTTGAATAGCAATCATTTTTCTACTTGCTGCAACAGAAGACAACAGTAAGACAAATAGCAAAATGAGACAATACAAAAAATGCCACATAGCAGGATATGATTGGCATACAAGTAGTTCAGAAAATGTAAATACTTTAGAAACTCATGAGATCACTTAGGTTAGACCCGTGAGCCTTGAGACACTGTAATGGAGAAGGAAGACAGGCAGGAAGGGCTGAGATGGTGAGAGTGGACATAATGGTTGAGTAAATCCTTTGAAGTAGGTAGACCTGCGCTCAAATCCCAGCTCTGTCACTTACTATGTGACTATAGGAAGTAATTTAAGCCTATCTTTCCTCCTTTGGAAAACTAGGATAATACTAGTACCTACTTCAAAGGGTTGTTAAATGGATTAAATGGGGGGAAAAAAGCAAACATGTAAATCTTGTCAAGCAATGCAAGGTATGATAAGTGCAAGGCTTGATATATAAGGTTCTTACACTTTACTTGTGAAAAGAAAATCTTCAGAGCACCTTACCATTTACATAATGTGGTTTTTTTCATATACATTACTCAAATTTTCTAGCAGCTTGTCAAATATATAATTATCATCACATTCATCATGCAGAAGTGGAACATGGGCTTCAGAGAGATTAAGACCTTTCACATGGCTTGAGAGGGACTTTGAATCCAGATCTTCTGGATCCTAATCTTTCCTTTTTATTCCTGTCTTAAAAGTCAATTATTCCCACAGAGGTGATAGACCATTAAATGCTTGACAACCGATAGCTTAGCCAAAGACTTTTGAAACCAAGAGTAGATTAGGCATCTAAAGGCAAGTCAGAAGCAGAAGTCAAACACAAACTTTGCCTACCTAAGGCATCTAGAAATAACTGGCCAAATATAAATCAATCTAAATGTCCATCAATAGAGGCACCTGGGTGGCCCAGTTGGTGAGGCTTCTGACTCCTGGTTTCAGCTCAGGTCACGATCTCAGGGTCATGAGATGCCTCTCTGAGCTCAGCCTGGAGTCTGCTTGAGATTCTCTCTCCCCTTCCTCTACCCCTCCCCACGCAGTTTCTCTCTCTCAAATAAATCTTTAAAACTAAATGTCCATTAATAGGGAAGCAGATAACTTAGGAGGTATCCTTATATGGAATATCGTGTAGCCAATAAAATAAATGAGGTAGATCTATATGTACTGGCCTGGAAAGACCGCCACACACACGCAAAGACGGCGCACAATGGAACAATCAATTTGCACAAGAGACGTTTCAATGTGTAGCTTTGAAGCCGACTCCACCCATTTAAGGACCCAGTCTGTCACTCTCCTTTCCTTATGCCCACCGTCTCCTTTCCACACTGCCATTCCCACATCCCACCACAGCCGTCTTTCACAACCCGCTCTTCTGGTCCTCTTTCCTCTTGCCCGCTTTTCCTTAGCCTCCACCCTTCTCTGCCGGAGGACCCCTTGGCAGAGATAGAGGCACGGAGCCCCCCCCCTCCGCCCCCCCCCCCAAAGAGATGGACCTCCCTGCGGAAGCCGGACGCACGCGCCCTGGCGCCTCCCTAGACCCGGAGGCGGCCTGTTTGCCCCGCCCGCGGGAAGGAGCCCGAATGCGATTGGTCTCCTGCGATTACGCCTCCCAGGATTGACCGGCCGCCGACTCCTCCCACCAAGTTTGGTGCTTCTCGGGAGGCGCTTCTTGGCCCTAGGAGGAGGCGGCGTAGCTTTTGCTAAGGTCGCATTTGGTACCGGATTTTCCTGCTCGACTGTTTGACAGATGACGGCATTAAGGTTGCCATGCTTCCTGCTGTGTGGTCCTATATGTTATAGCAAGAGTTTTCTTTAAATAGGACACGGAGAATCAGAAAGCAGGCCCTTACCCCCTGAAAGATACGGAGCTTCCTTTGTCCCACATGCGTCCGTGTGAGAGCTAAATTTCATACATAACGCAAATTAAAAGTCGTGAATTCAGCTTAAATAGTAATAGTAGGAGTTCACCTGTACATTGGGCTTACAGTGAGCGGTCACTGTTTTGATCCCTTTAAAACCTCACAGCCTTTACCTAGAATGCAGGTTCCATTATCCCCATTTTATAGACAAGGATGCCAAGACACAGGGAAGTTAAGCAACTTGCCCAAGATCACCCAGGGCTAAGTGGCAGAGCCCCAGTCGGAACCTGGCCTAGTGTCCGGTACCACCAACCACAGCATCAGTCTGCCTCTTAGAAAGAAACCAGGCAACGGTAAATATTATTGCCTAGGTCAAGAAGCAGTTTATTGAGGCTTCGTTTTCTTTTATGTCAAGTTTGGAAAATATGGGAGAGCAGATGGCAGTGGAGACTGGAAAGAATGGAGACTGGAACCTCCATTCAGGAGATTCTGAGCTCAGGTAAATTATAAAGTAGAAGAAGGTAGATTAGCTAAGGGAACATACAAATACAAATACCTACATCCATGCTTAAAATATATGTATATTTAATTGAGACACCTGCTGGAAATTGCTGAGAGTAACCTTAAACACTTGGGAGGGAAAACAGAAGGAGCTCTAAAGCAGAAGAGAGAACAGCTTGAGTCTGAAAAGACTATCGAGGAACTGCAGGGCCAGCTGTGGTACAAACAGCTCCCTAGAGAAAAATTAGAAGGTCAGTTGGGATGAGTATCGTGCAGAGATGGATCAACTCAGGGAGACACTGGCAAAAATTCAGGTCCCCAATTTTGCTGTGGATGATGACTCTTCTTGTGAGTCAAGCAAAGAGAAAAGGCAAATAAAGAATAAGGTGTCTTCTGGGGAAGTTTTTGTCAGAAGGTACTAATCAGTGACATAACTTGAAATAAACTTGCTTGATTTTTCTTTTATTTAAAAAATATATAGGGGGTCCCTGGGTGGTGCAGCAGTTTGGCGCCTGCCTTTGGCCCAGAGCACGATCCTGGAGACCCGGGATCGAATCCCACGTCGGGCTCCCTGCATGGAGCCTGCTTCTCCCTCTGCCTGTGTCTCTGCCTCTCTCTCTGTGTCTCTCATAAATAAATAAATAAAATCTTTAAAATATATATATATATATATATATATATATATATATATATATATATATACATATAATTTATTGAGGTGAAATTCACATAACATAAAATTTAAGTGAACAATAAGTCATATTTAGGACATTCACAATATTGTGCAACCTCTATCTATATCTCGATCCAAAACATTCCTGTCACCCCAAAGTAAAACTTATATTCATTCAATAGTCATTTCTTATTCCTGCCTTCCCCCAGACCTTGGTAACCACCAATCTATATTGTCTCTGTGGATTTCTCTGTTTTGAATATTTCATACAAATGGAATCATGCAATAATAAGCCTTTGTGTCTGGCTTCTTTGAACTAGATAATTTTTTTTGGTTCCACTATGTAGCATATATAGCACATATAAAGTACTTCATGCTTTTTATGGCTGAATAAAATTCCATTATGTACGTAACATGATTTGTGTATCCATTCAGCAATTGATGGATATTTGGACTGTTTCACATTTTGACTATTGTGAATAGTGCTGTTATGTACATGCCTGTACATGTACGTGTTGGAATACGTACATGTTTTTAGGTCTTTGGGGTGTATACCTAGGAGTGGAATTGCAGGGTCATGGGGTAATTCTATGTCTAACTATGAGAAATGCCTGCATCCTTTTGAAATTCATTCTTTTTTTTCTTTTGCAAAAGAATCTTTTTTTTTACATATTTTTTAAATTGGAATTCAATTTGCCAACATATAGCATAACACCCAGTGCTCATCCCATCAAGTGCCTCCCTGAAATTCATTCTTAAGGATATATTATTCATATTATAAATAATATTTGATATATGATATATATTAAGCATTTTAAATCAGAGTATCTTAAAGTTAGCACTGTTGACATTAAGACCATAGAATTTTTTGTTGTGGGGGCTGACTTGTGCGTTTGAAGATGTTTAGCAGCAATTCTGGCCTTTACCCAGTAGATGTCAGTAGCATCCACCCAGTTGTGACAACTAATATTGTCTCAAGATCTTGCCAAAGGTTTCCTGGGTGGCAAAATTTCCCGCTATTCCCACTGAAATCCATTGCTTTAAAGGATTCTCTGTACACTGGAAGCAAATCTGTCACTAAAACAAAACACTCAAACAAAGTAAGGGCATTTAAGAAACAGATGTTCCTTGCAAGTTTGCATACAGGAAATATTGTTTATTGTGTAATGATGTTAAGGAGTTTGCAGATTTCTAAATGTGTGACAACCAGAAAACTGTATCATTAAATATTCATCTAACTTTCATATATTCTTTTGTTCCAGCTCACCCACAGAACCCCAAGAAATATAGCTTTTCACATCAGTACATGTTATATATACCAAATCGCTTTTACAGCACACCGCATCACATAATTTTTAAGATGGCAGCTAGAAGCAAGATTTCACAAGATTTTTTTGGTATGGTAATATTTATTATTTCAAATCTAAGCTCAGACAGAGCCCATAAGGAATTTCCTATTTGGCTCAGCCAAATAATGGAAAGACATCTGCTAATTTTCATTATTGAGGTACAGTGAACCAAAATAAAATTTTTACATTTACCTTTAAAGATCATGGTAAGAAAAAAAAAAGATCATGGTAAGTTAATTGTAGAGTGGAAACTCTAAGTACATAAACACCTTTGCTATCAAAAAGCGATTAGGATCAGAACTGTTATGGAAATGGACCAGCTTTGGGCACAGGCAGCATTGGTGTAAAACTCACAGCAAAGTCTATGGCACTGAACTCTATCTACCCAGGTATGGAAGTGGAGGGGTGGGGCAGGAAGGTTGGTGCCATTCTGCAATGAAAAGCCAAAGAGATACCTAGTAGGTCACATAAAAGTAATGCAACAAGTGTATCAATAAGTACTACCAAACTGCTGAAGAAAAACAAGAACACAAACCTATAGATGGATTCAATTGTGATGACCAAATAAATAAGACAGAATTAAATGTATTTTCTCATTCATGTCCAAGATAATACTAGCAAGAAAGCCTGTAGAATAGGTCTACTTCTGTGACTAACAGCTACCACCATCAAATCACTGAGGTGAAATTTATGCCTTGAATTGTGATATAGAATTCATTTTATTCTGAGAAGTTGGTATTCCAAAGCCAGTCTCCTCTTGGGAAAACAGCTCCCACTTATTTAATTATTAGATGTATGTATATGTGTGTGCTTATTTTTTATTAATTAATTAATTAATTAATTTATTTATTTATTGTTTCGGCTTTATTGTGGTGCAACTGAAAAATGTAATTGTAGGAATGCCTGAGTGACTCAGGCTCAGCTGATTGAGCAGCTAGCTCTTGATTTTGGCTCAGATCATGATTTCAGGGTCATCAGATGGAGGCCCACCTCTGGCTATGAGCTCAGTGGGGAGTCTGGTTGAGACTCTCTCCCCCTTGTCCTTCCCCCCATTTACATGCTCTCTCTCAAATAAATAAATAAATATTTTTAAAAAGAAATATAATTGTAGGGATCCCTGGATGGCGCAGCTGTTTAGCGCCTGCCTTTGGCCCAGGGCGCAATCCTGGAGACCCTGGATCGAATCCCACGTCGGGCTCCCAATGCATGGAGCCTGCTTCTCCCTCTGCCTATGTCTCTGCCTCTCTTTCTCTCTCTCTCTCTCTCTGTGACTATCATAAAAAAAAGAAAGAAATATAATTGTAATATATTTAGAGTATATGATGATTTCACATATGTATAAATGTGAAAGGATTCCCAACATTGAGTTAATTAACACACCCATCACCTCACATGTTTATCTTTTTCTTTCTTCCCTCCCTCCATTTCCTTGCTTCCTTTCTTTTCTATTTTGGTGAGAACACTTCAGTTCCACTCTCTTAGCAAATTTCAAATTTCAGTTATATAATACAGTATTATCAACTATAGTCACTGTTATATATTAGATTCTGGGACCTTATTCATCTTATATCTGAAAGTTTATACTTTTATACTGGTCATTCCCTATTTTCCCCATCCCCAATCCCAGGCAATCGCCATTTTACTCTCTGATTCTGTTTTGGACTTTTTTTTTTTCAGATACCACATATAAATTATACCATGTGGTATTTGTCTGGTTTATTTCAGGTAGCATAATTGTTTATCCATGTTGTTGTAAATACTAGGATTTTCTTCTTTTATAACGATAAATAATATTCCTATATATATATATACATACATATATATACACACATATACCACATTTTCTTTATCCAATCGACAGTTGATATATAGGTTATTTCCATATCATGGCTACTGTGAATAATGTTGCAATGAACATGGGAGTACAGAGAGTGATTTCATTTCCTTTACATATATACCCAGAAATGGGATTGCTGGATCATATGGTAATTCTATTTTTAATTTCTTCATCAGTCTCCATTCTCTTTTCCATAGAGGCTATACTATTTTACATTCCCATCTACAGGATATGTGTTTCTTTTTCTCCGCATCCTTGCCAGCATTTGTTGTCTCTTGTCTTTTTTATAATAGCCGTCCCAGCAGTTATAAGGTGATATCTCCTTGTAATTTTGATTTGCATATCCCTAATTAGTGATGTTGAGCACCTTTTCATGTACTTGTTAGCCATTGGATTTCTTCTTTAGAAAACTGTCTATTCAGTTCCTCTGCCCATTAACTGGATTATTGTTGTTGTTGTTGTTGTTGTTGTTATTGAGTTGTATAAGTCCCTTGTATATTTTGGATATTAACCCCTT